CGAAAACAAAGCATTCATCTGAACGAGTTTAAAGCTTTGCTGTGGCGCAAATGTGCCGAAGCTATCTTCACCGGATCAGCTCAGGTGATCACCCACTTAATGGCGTGAACAACAATATTCAATAGTTACCTATCTCCCAGCGCAACGCACCAGTGCGGAGATGAATCTCAGCAGACGTCGGAGATGGTCATAGGAAAGGATGCACGGAAGGATCCCGTCCGCTCCACACCCACGGGATGGCCTGGAAGAAGAGGGAGAGGAAGCGCGCTCCACATGATGCAACGCTCTGGCAGCACGGAAGGATCCCGTTCGCTCCACACCCACGGGAAGGCCTGGAAGAAGAGGGAGAGGAAGCACGCTCCACATGATGCAACGCTCTGGCAGCACGGAAGGATCCCGTTCGCTCCACACCCACAGGAAGGTGTGCAGTGAGGCACAGCACGCCCCACATGATGCAACGCTCTGGCAGCATGGATGCCCGTCCGCTCCACATCTACAGGAAGGCCTGGAGGGAGAAGCAGCACGCTCCACATGATGCAACGCTCTGGCAGCGACGCCGGTATCACAGCGTTAAACATGCATGTGGACAGCAGGCTTCAGAGAAAAGCATGCCAAGCCCGTCAGCTAGCACGTGAGCGACAGCGGGTGGTGTGTTTGGCGCCGGACGTGCGGCCCATGCTTGAGCATTATACCAGGTAGTTGATGGTGGTCTTTGTGCTGCTTCCACCCATGTCCTTGTAGAACCTGTAGTCCGCCACCAGCAGGAGCGGGCACCTTGTCTTCAGCATGTTGAACGTGTAAGCCTCTGTCGTCTGCCGCTTGGCCCTCACATGCGGCCCGTCCTCCTTACTCCACTCGGGGCCTGGCATAACCGTATGGGCTTAGACACGCGCCGCACTCCAGCTGAGCCCACGTAACCATGCGGCGGAGTTACACATGAACCGTTCCTCATACCAAAACTGGGTGCTGCAGCGAGTTTCAACAAGAACACAAGGTACATTGTGAGTGCCTTCCCCAATCCCAGGAATTGGCTGTGCCTCGCCAACAAATCTCGGGTCATCGGCTGGTCCGAACGGACCGTCCACCCCTTGAATGAAGACAAGCGCACCTAACCCCCTGCCGACAGACGGGCGCCTCGGCGGCGGGCGGGGCCGCCGCCGGCGTCGTCGGCCTCACCGGTGGCGTTGCCGTCCTCGCGGACGTAGGCGCAGTGGGAAGTGGGCGGCAGGTGCGACGCAGGCGTCTCCGGCTCCTCCACGTCCGAGCCGCGGTACGTGATCATGCGGCTGCGCTCCGGGTCGTCCATGTGGCGCCAGGCCGGCTGCGGCGGCGCGCGGCGGTGGTCAGGGGCGACGGCGCGCGCGACGGAGCGGCGGTCGCCGGCGAAAGCGGCTGCCAGCGCGCGCGGAACCGAGACCCGAGCTGGCTGGCACGGGTGCGCGCACCACTGGGCGGACTAAGGGCCTACTCGAGCGTTCGGCTCGGCCAACACGAAGTGCGCGAATGAAGACGTAAGAATGTTGCGGCGGCAATCAGAATCTGTGTTACGGAAGGATTGCGGCGAGCCATTAGTATCACACACGGAAAAATTGTTCCGACTATCGTCCTCGTCTACTGTGCTACTACCTTGATGCGTTGCGTACATACTTACAAACCAGACGAGAATGGTAGTCCGAACAATTATTTCATCCGTGGAGTTACTCCATGGACGAAATAATATATTGTCTGTATAATTTGATTGTTTGCATGAAATCCAGAAGCATGCTCACAGCTGCGAAATTTGGTGTGTTCGTATTCGCTTCCATCCTTAACTTGGTCTGGTTACCGTGGTTACACCCTAACCTGGAAGTGGCGCCCTGGTTTTCTAATAGCATTGATAGGTGGTTTCAAATATATCTCCATGTGGTGGACGTGCCACTTGGTCCGCACTCAATACACGTGGTGAACAAGTCACATACATCCACAGGTTTACTATTACTGCAACGTAGTGGGAGATTGGTGGGTGCAAGCTCACACGTAACACGTGACATACCTCTTCCTTGTACGCGCGAACATCGTCATCGCTGGACGCGCTCTCGCCTTGACAAATAGGCGCCGTATCTGGCTGCACCTTCACCTCGATGCAATGAGCTTCGATTCTGGATGCACGCTCACCGCGGCAAATAGGTGCCGTATCTGGCTGTACCTTCACCTCGATGCAATGGGCGTCGATTCTGGATGCACACTCACCTCGCTGGCACACGCGTCTTCCCTGAACACGCGCTTACCTTGCCATCCTTGGCTGCACGCTCACCTCGTTGTCCTTGGCTGCACGCCCACCTCGCCATCTCTGGCTGCACGCTCACCTCGCCATCCTTGGCTGCACGCTCACCTCGATGTGATAGGTGTCTTCCTTGGTGCGAACGGTGGCCGTCATCACGCCGTTCTCCAGCTGTACGCTGGCATCCGATTCGGTCTCGCCGAACACGCGCCCCTCGTACAGCTCCGAGTCTTCCGGATCTGGGGACCACGCGGCGGCGTCGGCCCATCCGCTCCACAGGGGGACGTCATGGCTGGTCTGTGCGTGTGTATCGTGCGTGAGATGTCGGCATCGTCGGTCCGCACGCTCCACAGGGGGACGTCATGGCTGGACTGTGCGTGTGTATCGTGCGTGAGATGTCGGCATCGTCGGTCCGCACGCTCCACAGGGGGGAGCCATGGCTGGTCTGTGGGTGTGTATCGTGCGTGAGATGTCGGCATCGTCGGTCCGCACGCTCCACAGGGGGAAGCCATGGCTGGTCTGTGGGTGTGCATCATGCATGAGATGTTAGCATCGTCGATCCATCCGCTCCGCAAGGGGACATCATGGCTGATCTCTAAGTGTGCATTGTGTGTGAGATGTGGACATGTCATTTGTCATCTGGGTTGGAAGGACTCACCCAGGTGATGAAGCTTCTCTGCTCCATTCTCATCAACTTCATATGCTTTGAACTGGCTGTGCAGGAGGTGCTTCCGTGGTGTGAGCACAAGCCTGAACTCCCTGAAAACATTGGCAACCAGTTGAAAGCCATGGAATGTTTTCAGAGCATTCTTGCCAGACATTACCTTTGCAGCACCACAATGGCTCAAAACATTGGCTGTCTTTTGGCTGTCTTTACACCAAAATCTGTGCCAACTGAGTTCTGAACTCTAGACATCCAGCTCTCAGATTTATGACAAGGCATTCTGCACTGCAGATTCATGATGTGTGCTAAAATTGATGGCAAGAGATTTATCTGCTCTGTCAGATGTATCATAAGCGCATGTTTTTGCAGTCTAATCCACAGTGGAAAATAATTTTCCAACATAGAATGCTTACACAATATGTTGTGCAGGCAACAGGCACTCTACACTGAACATGGTGATATAAAATGTGCAAAAATATTTCATAGTATTTTAAATCCATGCTTACCTCCCAAGAGTCTTGAATGTAACCTCTTTTATTTTGTTGAATGGATGAGGACTGCTGTTGATGCCCCGCTTCACTATTGTGTGACTGAGCTCAGAAGCATGCATGAGTTGATGATACCTCAGGCGTGGTAGGTGAGAGCCTGAGGACACAACAATCTACAAGTTTTTGACCAGCACAGCTAGGAAAATAAAGCATCATCTGAAAATTACACCTCACAAACACAATTTTAACAACATGAGATTCTGACACCCATAATACTACCAAAAACTCCATTCTTAAAAAGCAACCACAAGAACTATCCTAATATGCTTTATATTCCATCTTTGTAACCATAAATATCACATAAGTATTTAAAAGACTTGTTCCCAAGTAACATCCTATCATGTTATCATAAATATATCACCAGATAGAAGATCAAAATCCCAGAATACTGAAACCTTAACAAATTCACATGAAGCTAAAAGGCAAGATTAAGAGCAAGGCATTCAACAAATTCACCATTTTTTTGACAGCCAAGGCAGTTGCAACAGCCTTACACCCCTTGTCACAGAAAATACTAGGTAAGCAAATACAAAAAATAGAGCATACCTTGTCCACCAGCAAGACACATAACCAAGAATAGGGCATTGATCGGAGGCATCCTTACAGCTGTTTTATTTTGAACACAAAAATCTTCAATTAACAGCCTCTACAATGGACCGCATGCTCCTTCACCTGTAGGTAACATAAAGGGCAACATTGTAAGAACAATAAGCAATAAGAACAATAAAACAACAATGTAATGAACAATTGTGCTCATTCTTGTGATTTTAGAGCAAAGTAAGGGCAACATGAGCTTAGAATATCACAATCCTCTTCTCAACCCTTGAACTATCCCAAACCTCAGTCACTGGCTTTCCCACCTATGACTCATCTACATCCTGAACGCATAGGGCTTAAAAATGGTCATCACAATGGTCAAATCGATCAAGTGCCAGGGGAGTGACGCAGTCCAAGCTGCACACAAAATCAGGTACGTGGGACAAAATCCGGCGGAACCATTCGGGTTTGGGATTACCAATAAAAGGGACCACGCTCAATTCTTAATTCGCTCACTACTTGGTGATATTTGTTATCAATCTTTGCAGTTTTTGAGTCGTATGGGTACTTACCGTAAGTCATGTAGATTCGGGCCGTCAACCACTCATAAAATAAAACTAAAAACACACCACACTGGCCCCCCGCTCCCTCGATCCAGCGCAAAAACAACACACCCGCCGGATTTCCTTGTTTACAAACCGCGTTTATCGGGGATTTGGGTGCCTAAAGAAAGAAGACCTCATACAAATTTATAAAACTATAGCCTCCGACAAAACTTGTCGCCGGGCTTTTTATGTTCGCTCACAGAAAAGCCAGAGAAAAAGTACTTAAAAATTATTTCTATCGGATTTTTCCTGTTTTTATATTAATTTGGTAATATTTTAGATAAAATATAAACTACCACTTTATGTCCCTGGTGGAGAAGGTTGTAAACTAAAAAGGAACCAATGGCAAACTAATGTACACAAGGGGTACACGGGGGTGGGATGCGGTGTCGGTGGTGGTGCGGAGGGAGGATGGACTTTGGAAAGTGAGTTGTTAATCGGTCAAGAGCTGACTGGAAGACGCTAGCAAGCGTCACAAGACATAAGTGATTTAGTTAAGCTTCATGCTCATTCAGGTGTAGCCACGGCACCGAGAAGGCTGGGGAATGGCAGGCGTATTGACATTTGCAGCGATCGCGAGGTGTGGTGTATGTGTGAGGTAGCAACGCTATTTGCTATGATCTTATAATACTCTATGCTGCAGCGAAACTCCATTGGTAGATGAACATGGAGAGTGCTGAGAATGACCTGTCTATCACCAGCACGTTGGCATGCTTTCAAGGGAAGATCAAGGAAGCCATTGCATTAGTTCAGTCCATGTCCACTGAAGACAAACTAAAGGCTGTCCAGTACTGGAATGTTGTATCTGAAAATCTGCAAGATGTTGTGAACAGCTCAGCAGATGACATTACTGCTCTTGCATCACAACTGTCTGAGCGGGAGAACTTGATTGCACAAGAGCAGTTCAAGCTTTGTAGCAGCCATCTTCCCCAGTATCAAAGACCCATTCTGCAACACACCTCAACATACCACTCCAATTCAGTAAGCCATTCTCACCATCCTCGACACACAAGATCTCAAGGAGTCAAAGTTTTTCAGCAGAACCAGGATGATGCCAACCACACCGCTTTGTTTGATTTGGAGCAGAAGCAGGCTGATACGAATGCCATTGGAACAGATTTGCTTGATCATTATCTTGTCAGTCAGCCAACTATGACTGCTGCGAGTGATGGACAGCATTCCCTATCTGTGGTGGTTGATCCCAGTAACACATTTACCTCTGGGTTAGGACTTCGGGGTGCTGTACCAATACCATCAGGGAGCCCAACCATGACTGTGAACACCCTAGCTATTGAAGAGACCTTGGATGTACAAAGAGGTGATCATGTTGATGGAGATGATCCATTGCCATTGCCAGAGGTACCATTCACTGCAGAAGAAAGTGAAGGATTTGGTGTGGATGATATAGAAATACCTGTTCCTCCAGCACTGGGGAACAATGTGTCAAACAATGTTGGGCCAGTTGCAGAGGATGAGAATGTTGCAGGAAGCTCAGTTGATCTCCGCAAATATCTAACTATTGCCAAAAACAAAAGAGGTGCTGCAGTCCTTAACTTCTTCACAAAGCAGGCAAGAGATCCTGAAGCAAAGGGTAGTGATTGCCATGTGTATTGCTGCAATGTTTGCCAGAAAAGCTACCCAAGCATTGGATCTTTTTACTACCACTTTGCAATTCACAGTAGATCATTTGCTTGCCAGAAGTGTGGTGAATCATGTCACTCCAGGGCACACCTCCGCACCCACATGCAGTGTCATGGTGTACCATGCCAAAACAAGTGCAAGGAGTGTGGCAGGGAATTCACGACGTTCAGCAATCTGAATCGCCATATGAAGACGCACACTGATGACCGCCCATTTGAGTGCACTGTGTGCAACAAACGTTTCCGCGAGAAGAAGTCCCTGCAGATCCACGGGCGGGTGCATTCCGGCGAGCGGCCGTACCAGTGCGACATCTGCGCGTCACGTTTCGTGCAGCTGGGCGCGCTGAACGCGCATCGCGAGACGCACGCCGACATCAGGCGCCACCTCTGCGACTTGTGCGGCAAGAGCTTCCGGCAGAAGGTGCAGCTGAAGATGCACACGCTGCGGCACGAGGGAAAGAAGGGCTTTCAGTGCGAGAAGTGTCCGATGGCGTTCAACGTGCTGAATGATCTGAAGCGGCACCGTCGCAGCCACATGCAAGACAAGCCTTTCAAGTGCGACGAGTGCGGCAAGTCATTTCCGCGACAGCAGGCGCTGACTGAGCACTTGAACCGCCACTATGGCAACAGACCCTACCAGTGCCCTTTCTGTACAAAGTCCTACCCAGAAATGTCTGCGTGCAAAAAGCACATCAAGACCCACGAAGGGTCCAAGCCTTCCGGCTCTTCGCAGACTTCTACCGGTGAGTCAGCAGTGGCATTGCCAGCTGCGACCAGTCGGTGAAATGCGATTGTTTTGCTGAAGTTTGTTGTTGTGTTTGCTCGTGAAATATATGTATTTACATTGCGAGATTGCATTCCTTGCCATGTCTGAAGGAACGCACGCAAAATTCGTGTGGTTGGCAGTTTTTTATGCGTGCCGCGAAAGAGAGAAATTACGAACCACCAAACGTGAAAGCATTCCAGAGGAGAATAACCCAGTATTAACGATATTACACTGCGCTAAAAATGTATGTGCTTGTCATGTTGTGTGACGAGCGATGTAGCGATAACAGTGGCGAGCCGTGTGGTATTCCGAGGCCGAAACCAGCCGCGGCAACCACCGTGGGCTCAGCAATCTGACCCCCGCTAATGGTGTCTTCCCAACCGGGAATGGCCCGGTACTGGGGAATGACGCAGGGATGGTGACGTGCTTGTGCTGACTGGCGCCATTTGTGGTTAGGACCTCTCCGTATTGTCCGATACTCGTGGGTATAATCCCTCCGCATTGTCCGGTATTTGTGAGCGGTGTTCGGGTCCCCTTCACGTTTTCCGATACAGTTGGCAGCTTTTTGCATTGCCAGATGCTCGTGGTTATGGTCCCTCTGTACTGCCTGATGCAGGTAGTTAGGATGTCTCGCGTCGTTTGATGCTCGTGGCTAGCATCTCTCTACATGTGGGTAGGATCCCTCCGCACTGTCTAATGCTCGTGGGTATAATCCCTCCGCGATGTCTGATACTTGTGGTTAGTTTCCCTCTGCGCTGTCTGGTGCTCGTGGGTAGGATCCCTCCGCACTGTCCAATGCCCGTGGGTAGGATCCTTCCGCAATGTCTGATACTCGTGGTTAGCCTCGCTCCACGCTCTCTTTATTCACCATGTAGGCCCCTGCACATATGACAGAAGTCTGCGAGTCATGACGGAGCTCTGTATTAAAGCGATGCAATTGCTACACAAGCACGTAGCAAAGCGGTAACCTCGTAGAGGACGATAACACGTCGTAAGCATGGTACGGATTGGCTCAAATCTACATCCTTGTAAAGCGAAGAGTTCGTCACAGGTCCTCCTCCAAGTACGGCCCAACAGCCAAACCGGTCGACGTGGCAGACACAGGGGTACCCAAGAATTATGTGCTATGTGTACATACGTAAGCGTACTGATGTGCTGATGGCTATGAAAGGCACACTAGTGTTGCGCCGCGAATATTGTACGGCATTAAAATTGAAGGGAATGTTGAGTGAAGTGCATTACTAATCTTTTCTGTCTGGAATGGGCTCCAACCCGTTAAAAACAAGATCGGGTACCATGTGCGGCGCTGTGCTGCTGCACGGTCAGGGAATGTTATCTGTGCATACCTGTAGAGTTTCGCCATCAGCAACAAATCATATTGCCTGTCATCACGGCGTTGCCGTCGATTTTTCGAACCTAAAACCACAATACCACTAAACCGCAACAGCGGATATAAACCGGCAAGCGTGCCCGAAATGCAACACAGCATTTAGAGCTAAACCAAGCACGTTGTCATGGACGAAAAGCAGCTAATGAGTCGTTACAACTAAAAACGCTTTTATGGCGTCTCTTCTACGCCGGCACAACTTATGAGAATGCTAAGTTGTCGCAGCATAATTCCGTGCAACAGACCGGAACTGACTAGCTCTGGTAGGCACACGCATAAATATGGTCCACATAGTACTGCACACGCATAAATATGGTCCACATAGTACTGCACACGCCTACATAATTACAACAGACACTAGCATAATGATGAGCCAATGTCAGTAAACCGTAGCCCCACTCCTTCGCCCATGGTGCAGTATGAACACGATCGCTTCTGAATGAAGGCACGGACGGTGATAGGTAGCAGGACCAGGCGTCGCCCGCCCAGCAGCGCCGCCTTCACTCCTGCCGAGACCGCATCAGAAGGCCCGCGGAGCGCTGCCAGTCCGGGCCGTCCCGCCGGCGGCTGGCTGCCCAGGCGGGCCCGCCGCCCGGCCGGCCGCGTGGCGTCGGACCGCACGGCTAGAGGGGTCCCTCCCGGCCGTCAGCTGGAGGAGCCACGCCCACAGCTTCGTCGTCCGACCTGAGCACACCAACGCTTCACGTCGATCTGGGTTGTCAGCAGTGCTAATCAATAGCCAACAATGACAAATGCCCATTCAACGTGTTTGCCCGCACTATAGCACACCATTCAGCAACTCACCGCCACGGCATGTTTCATAGTTCAATTTTACAGCCATATCGCAACCCAGTTTCTTAATGGTTACTGGAGAATGTCTGTCATTTGGGCTTTACGACGCACTTAGCTGCTGAGGCTATATGGCGTCGCCTGCCTCTCACCCTGGCAGGAAGGGCGGGCACCGCGGGAAATCGAACCCCGCACCTCTGGTTTTCCAGACGCGCAGTGTAGCCGCTATGCTACCGGCACCCCGGTTAATGGAGAAGTATCAACACCTAAGTAAATGCACTTTACGACCAAAATGTTAGACTCTGACGACCACCTTGTTACCTTGGTGCCGTTTCGTTCCCGGAACATAGTCACAGGAAACACCCGCCACCCGTCGCCGCTCCCACCCATCCGGCCATATTACACATCACTCCCGTCCCCCCTCCCCCCTGCCTCCGGCCGTCGCTCCGGCCCAGTCGTACCGGTGGTCGCCGACGGCGTCCTGCATGGTCTCCGGTAGCGGCATGCCGAGCGTCTCGGGCAGGCAGAGCGTGCACAGGCCGGACACGATCACCACGCCGCCGATCACCAGCAGCGGGATGCTCTCGCCGTAGATGGCCTGGCGAGCCGCGGTCAGCGCCGGTCGGTCAGACGCCCAGGGAGCGTGGCGGCTCACACACACACGGGACGCGCCGCCGCCGATGAGGTCGCAGCGTGGACGCGGGACACGTGGCTCCAGTAACCGCCCAGCCGCCGGGACAGCAGTGTGACAACCGGCATCGCCAGTACAGAACACACCGTACGGGCTGCGACTACATGCGAGACACAGCAGCTAAACTAGGACCGGCGCCTGCGCACCACGGATGCGTGCGCCTGCGCTCGGCGGCACGGCCGCAGCCCCGACCGTCTCACCGGCACAGATGGGAACAGCGCCCGCTGGCCGGCGTCCGCGCACTCACCAGCACGGCCAGCTGCGGCGCCAGCATGGCCGCCACCCGGCCCGTCATCGAGCACACGCCGACGGCCGTGTTGCGCGCCGACGTGGGGAACAGCTCAGACGTGTAGATGTAGATGACGGCGAACGCGCCGGCGGCGCCGCTCTTACCCAGCATCAGCATCACGGCGTTCGGGATCGGCATCGCTGCGGCCGGGGCGGCGGTCACCGGGTTGTTCCGGCAGGAGGGAGGGGGGGGGGGGGGGGAGGCGCCGCTGCGGCCACGTCATGGACGGTGGCCTTCGGACGCCGCTATCGCGCGGAGACCGCGTCCAAGACGTCAACAGCACAGCTCGCGAAATAATGAGTAACCCGTGGGCGACCACTACTGCCCGGGTAGCCAATACCAATCAGCTAAATGGTCCGCAGCTCCGGCGTTGACCATTCGCATAACTGGGGATGACAACGACGGCGCCCACACACAATGGGGGATGACACCGACGGATACCATTCACATTTGGGGATGACACCGGCGGAGACCACTCACAACTGGGGATGACACCGGCGGAGGCCACTCAATTGGGGATGATACCGGCGGATACCACTCACATTTGGGGATGACGCCGACGGATACTACTCACATTTGGGGATGACGCCGACGGATACCACTCACAATTGGGGATGACACCAGCGGAGACCACTCACAATTGGGGATGACGCCGGCGGAGTCCACCCACAATTGGGGATGACGCCGACGGATACCACTCACATTTGGGGATGACGCCGACGGATACCACTCACATTTGGGGATGACGCCGACGGATACCACTCACATTTGGGGATGACACCGACGGAGACCACTCACAATGGGGGATGACACCGACGGGGCCACTCACAGCTGGGGATGAGTCCGGCAAGGGCCACTCACAGTTGGGGATGCGTCCAATGGGGACCACTCACAGTTGGGGACGAGTCCGACAGAGACCACTCACAGATGAAGATGAGTATTGAGGTCACTCATAGTTGAGTCCGTCGGAGACCACTCACAGTTGGAAATCGGTCCATCTGGATCGCCCACATTTGGGGATGAGTTAGACAGGGATCGCTGACAGTTGGGGACGAGTCAGGCGGGAACCACTCACAGTTGGGAATGAGTCCTGCGGTGATGAGCGACACGCCGCACAGCACGTTGGCCGAGACGAATGTGGCGCGCCGGCCCAGCCGGTCCATGCCTACCCAGCAGAACGTGTAACCTGGTGGCAGACAGACAGATGGGCAGTGACAGTCCGGCCAGAGGGTCCTGTACATCTAACGACCACTAGGCTGCTATACCGAACCACGCCAGGCCCAACAGTGGCAAGACCCGGTAGAGTTGCAGATATATTCCCACGACGTTGTCCAGACAGCGCAGTGGTGATACCGGTCGTCAAACGCAGGTGAGAACATGGGACGCACGGCGGGTTACACTGCGCACCTCTGATGAGATCAGCACCACAATAAAGGCGAAAGCTGTTCTTCCACGAGTGCCATCACGCACAACCATTGCTGACATGGACTTTGCCGCACTTTCTGCAATAATCGACATAAGCAAAACACAATGTGCACTGGGTCAGCAGCGGTATGCGTGGACAACCACTAAAAGTGTATGCTGCAAGACACCTCATTGGCATCCAGAACGGACGGGCAGCGTCTGTTTTTTGGTGAGATTACAATGCACGGATGTGTAACGAACCTGGCATCTCCGCAATGGTGGTGACGAAGAAGTTGGTGAAGAAGTCGCCGGGCAGATTCGGCAGATCAATCACCATGCCATAAAAGGCGAAGTTCACCGCAAACCTGGCACGTATGGAGGCGGGCCGTCAATGAATAAAGTCAGCTTCTACCATAAATATAGAACATATGCCAACAGCCCCTGACAAAGATAAAAGGGCAATGGCGTTCTGCTAAAATGAGCATCATCCTCGTCGCGTTTAGAAATATCAGCTAGACACTGGCAACAGCTTTTCGCGGGCCCCGCATCATGCGGAGCTACCCGCACGGGGTGTCCTGCACATCACCTAGTGGGCACATGTCTACATTCCAGCACCAACGGAGATCCACAAGAGCGCACCGGCCGAATCAAGACGGACAGCGGCGACTTCCACTACGAGGCTGACATATCTCCCATTCTCCTCTTCTGGGGACACTCGTGCTCCCCTGGTTTCCGGCGTACCCACCACCCGAGCAGGGCCAGACAGAGGCAGACCCTGAGCACGTGACTGACACCACCCCAGGACCTCCGAGTACCCACCATCCGGGCAGGGCCGGACAGAGGCGGACCCTGAGCGCGTGAGTGACACCACCCCAGAACCTCCGAGTACCCACCATCCGAGGAGAGCCAGACAGAGGCGGACCCTGAGCGCGTGAGTGACACCACCCCAGGACCTCCGAGTACCCACCATCCGAGCAGGGCTAGACAGAGGCGGACCCTGAGCACGTGAGTGACACCACCCCAGGACCTCCGAGTACCCACTATCCGAGCAGGGCTAGACAGAGGCGGACCCGGAGCGCGTGACTGACACCACCCCAGGACCTCCGAGTACCCACCACCCGAACAGGGCCACACAGAGGCGGACCCGGAGCGCGTGAGTGACACCACCCCAGGACCTCCGAGTACCCACCACCCGAGCAGGGCCAGACAGAAGCGGACCCGGAGCGCGTGAATGACACCACCCCAGGACCTCCGAGTACCCACCACCCGAGCAGGGCCAGACAGAGGCGGACCCTGAGCACGTGACTGACACCACCCCAGGACCTCCGAGTACCCACCATCCGAGCAGGGCTAGACAGAGGCGGACCCGGAGCACGCGGCTGCGCATACAGTCGATGAAGGTCTCGCTGGGCGCGGCCGGCACCACCACCACCGGTTCCGAGTCGCTGCTGTCGTCCTGTGAGCAGCGAGTGCGTCGTGAGGAGCCGGACACTAGCCGGCCACCGCGGGAGCGCGGCAGGACGCGGACACACTGTGACGGCAGTGTGACGGGACCCAGACACTGTGACGGCAGTGTGACGGGATTCAGACACCGTGATGACAATGTGACGGGACTCAGACACTGTGACGGCAGTACGACGGGACTCGATCACGCTGTGATGACAGTGTGACGGACTCAGACACTGTGACGGCAGTGTGACGGGATTCAGACACTGTGATGGTAATGTGACGGGACTCAGACACTGTGACGGCAGTACGACGGGACTCGATCACACTGTGATGACAGTGTGACGGACTCAGACACTGTGACGGCAGTGTGACGGGACTCGATCACACTGTGACGGCAGTGTGACGGGACCTGACACATTGTGACGGTAGTGTGACGGGATCCGACACACTGTGAAGGCAGTGTGACGGGATCCGACACACTGTGAAGGCAGTGTGACGGGCCTCGGTCGCACTGTGACAGCAGTCGGGACAGGGCGGCTGAGGGAGCGACGACGGCGCAGGCCCGTGGCCACCGCCGAGCACAGCGGCATCTCCCGGGCTCTGCTGGAGTCATGGACTTCTCACAGCCGACCCAGCAGGTTATCGTAGGATTCACAAGTCGACTAGACGGTGGTGATTTGGGCTTTGGGGCGCAACGAATGCATCGTTCACGTAGCGCCCAAGTCGAGAAGTCAGATAGCATGGGATTGAGGCTCGCATTTTGATCATGGGGTGTACCATGTGTATGAAGCAAAACTTATCGAAACAAGCAGAATGTGGACTACAGATGACGGCTGTCATGCTTCGGATCAGCGGGACCCAGACATGGATACAGGCGGAGGAACCACAGGGAGATGTTCTTCAGGATGACACGCATGAACAGAAAGAAGTGGGTTCCTCATATACATTCTTCGCAATCATCAATCAGTATCCGGAAATAACGAAGCCTAACCAGAGTGAGATGGCCTCAAAATAATCAGGCTGTGGTCTAGTCCTACATCGCAGAGATGACCAGTATGATCAATCTCCAGTGTAAACGCCATTAAAGCCTCTATCATGCAAAAACGGGTATTTATGCATTCTCCCCTGTCTTGTTCGCCCAAAGACCACGCTGTTCATGAATATGCTTACATTACTTCTCTGAATGTAATCATCGCGGCCTGAAGGAGAGTCGTGCCAAATAGGATTGCCTGCGGCGGGAATTGAACCCAAACCTACCGATCCCCAGTCCGGTGCTACAGCGCTCGGCCACTTACGTCGTCATCCTGACCGGGGTCATCGCAGTCGGCCAGCAGGTGCGGCGACACGGTGGTGCCGTTCTTCTGCGCTATGTAGCGGATGGCGGCCTGCGCCTGCTCGGTGCGACCCTGGGTCAGCAGCCAGCGCACCGACTCCGGGCACAGCCTGCGGCAGCCACGGCGGCGTCGGGTGGCGACAGGGGGCGGTGCCGCAGCGGCCCGCAGCCGAGCGTAACTCACGAACGGACCGAGCGTCCTAGACGACGGAGTGGATACAGTGCACAGGAGACCGAGCTGGTTCAGGTACATCCAGTTTTGCAGTTTTCAGCAACGCAGTTTTCAGCAACAACAAAACGGTAACGCTCTAACAATAAATGCTTGGCGGTGATACGTTGCATGCGTTCCACACGAAGCTAAAAGATTAACAGCATGTTCCCACAGCCCGACGGGGAGGCGCGCACTGACCAGGGCCCCACCAGAGGCCGCACACTGACCAGAGTCCCGCCAGCAGCCGCACACTGACCAGAGCCCAGCCAGCAGCCGCACACTGACCAGGGCCCAGCCAGCAGCCGCACACTGACCAGAGCCCCGCCAGCAGCCGCACACTGACCAGGGCCCAGCCAGCAGCCGCACACTGACCAGAGCCCCGCCAGCAGCCGCACACTGACCACAGCCCAGCCAGCAGCTGTGCACTGACCAGAGCCCGGCCAGCAGCTGTGCACTGACCAGAGCCCGGCCAGCACCCGCACTGACCAGAGCCTGGCCAGCAGTTGTGCACTGACCAGAGCCCGGCTAGCAGCCGCACACTGACCGGAGCCCAGCCAGCAGCTGTGCCCACAGCTGTGTCAGCAACTGTGCACTGATAAGAGCCCAACCACCAGACGCACACTGACCCGAGCCCAGCCAGCAGCCACACATCGACCAGAGCGCAGCCAGCAGCCGCACACTGACCAGAGCCCAGCCAGCAGCCGTACACTGACCAGAGTCCAGCCAGCAGCCGCACACTGACCAGAGCCCGGCCATTAGCCGCACACTGACCAGAGCCCAGCCAGCAGCCGCACACTGACCAGAGCCCGGCCATTAGCCGCACACTGACCAGAGCCCGGCCATTAGCCGCACACTGACCAGAGCCCAGCCAGCAGCCGTACACTGACCAGAGTCCAGCCAGCAGCCGCACACTGACCAGAGCCCGGCCATTAGCCGCACACTGACCAGAGCCCGGCCATTAGCCGCACACTGACCAGAGCCCAGCCAGCAGCTGTGCACTGACCAGAGCCCGGCCATTAGCCGCACACTGACCAGAGCCCAGTCAGCAGCTGTGCACTGACCAGAGCTCAGCCAGCAGCTGTGCACTGACCAGAGCCTGGCCAGTAGCCGCACACTGCTTGAGGCCTGGTCAACAACTGTGCAATGACCGACCAGCGGCCGTGTACTGACCAGAAGCCAGCCAACAGAAGCACCAGCGGTGCCGTGCAGACCAGCTGAAGGTCCACCCAGCCGCGGATGGCATAAGCCAGCGCGCCGGCCACCAGGGCGCCCACCGTGGTGAAGTAGTTGATTACGGTGCCGCATGGCACGCGCCACCGCTTCCCCACCAACTCCACCGCTGCAATGGTGGAGACGCGTCTGGTAACCATGGCAATCGACGACGGCACTGCTCACCAGCCCAGTCGCTGCAGCGGTGGTGTCCGGCCAGTGTAACCATGACAACCGGCAGAGGACGGCTAACCGACCCGGTTGCTGCAACGGCAAGGTAATGTCTGGCCAGTGTAACAACGGGACGAGTTTTCCGTCTCAATGAAGCTGAAATTTCTTATTGAAACCGAGGATGTTTGCACTGGATTACCACCCTAGACTGCTATGTAGTTTTGTATGAAACTGATGCAAGACACCACAAATAATTTTTGCCGATTCCTTCCACCCAGTTGGCCTGCTATTGTAGCACTGTCTGTCAGTCAGGACCGGCGTGTTTTACTCCATATCCTGAGCAGTCGGAGACCGCGGAAGGCTTACCCAACACAAACGCCGTCTGGTACATGCCACAGCTGGCCAAGCCGAGCACCACTCGCAGCGCACACACGCCGATGAAGCTGAAGCGCAGCACCACCACCAGGTAGTTCACCAGGAGCAGCAGCAGCACTGACAGCATCAGCGCCGCTCGCCGGCCGAATCTGGAAACACGTGCGAAAGTGGTGGCCAGTCATGAAAGTTTGTGGAAGACGGCGTGGGTCACAAACGCCACTCGTGAACCGCACATACCAGGAGGCACTTCCATCCGTCCAGAGACAAAAAGAAAAACACCCATGCATACAATAACGAGACAAAATATTCACGGCACTGGTAACGTCCACCCACAGAGCTTCGAGCCAGAGCCGAGACCGCCCGGCTTTCGCTCACCTGTCGCTGATGACGCCGAATACCACGGAGCCCAGCAGCACGCCCGAGAAGTACAGCGTGTTGGGCAGCTCCACCAGCGGCTGGTACGAACATGTCAGGTTCCACTGCGGATGAAGGGTGGACGCGTCAGGTTGTGATGGTGAGTGCACATGTCAGGTTCCACTGCGGATGGTGAGTGAACACGTCAGGTTGTGATGGTGAGTGAACACGTCAGGTTCCACTGCGGATGGTGAGTGAACACGTCAGGTTCCACTGCGGATGGTGAGTGCACATGTCAGGTTCCACTGCAGATGGTGGGTGGACGCGTCAGGTTGTGATGGTGAGTGAACACGTCAGGTTCCACTGTGGATGGTGGGTGGACGCGTCACATTCCACTGTGGGTAATGGGTGGACGCGTCAGGTTCCAGTGCGGATGTTGAGTGAACACATCAGGTTCCACTGCGGATGGTGAGTGAACGCGTCACGCTCTAAGCTGCGACGGTAGTTAAGTTGTAAGACGTTTACATGCACGTCGTCCAGTTACACGAGATATGCCTACAATACTGTAATTTTTCCGCTTAATTCGTCTCTGCCATTTCGAAACCATAAAAAAACGTTGAATACACAGATTCTGAGAAGCCAAACAAAAATCGGATTTGCGTTCAACTTAGTTTCTGGCATCATCTCCACGATCCTGACCAATAGCTCCTACATCTATGATCGTCTGGCTCGTCCGACGGCTAACCAGGCGCCTTTCTGGTTTATCTGAAGTTGCATTTCCTGCCAGACCAGACAAACTTTGTCCGAAAAATGACGACATCTCAACACATTCTTGCAACCAACACAGCCTTCACATTTGTCTTGTGAATGTCTCCTTAGTTTACCTAGAAATATGATATGGTGCTGTGTTACTGCACCCACTTTAACCATTCAGAGGATTCGGAATATATGTCTGGACACGGCCACTACCTGGGTGGCGAACGACGACGTGAACAAAGACTTGTCGAAGACGAAGCGGGTGCAGCTGACGGTGATATTGTCATCAAAGTCTTCGTCGTGGCAGCTGTCGGAGGTGAGGTTATACCTCCAGAAGCGTTGGCACTGCGACTGACCGCCGGCCTCCGGCGGTATCGAGAAATTGGTGAAGGGCGCCCGGTATTCGGGCGCCGTGGCGTTGTCGCACCCCGGCACGAGACACCTGGCGAGCAGGGGCGACATGGGAGTCGGCGGGCACGGACACCGATGGACTACCGATGAACGGACGAGTGGGGCGGGGGGCCACGATGCAGCACGGACAGCAGTGGCGACATGGGAATCGGCCGACACGGACAGACGGACTGCTGATAAACGGACGAGTGGGGCAGGGAGCCTTAATGAGGCACGGGCAGCTAGCAGTGAAACTGATGAATAACAATGAATGAGATGTGTAAGGGCTGACGAAAAATGATGCTTTCTGAAGAGACTGACTAAGGACAGTTTAAACTTAACCCAAAACTGACAATACACAAGTCACATCCCCGGTGGGACCCCTGGCAGCGTTCTCACCTGTAATGAGGCACATATGCCTGAAACACCAGAGCAGCTACTCCAGGTATGGTAGCTATAGTTACGCCCACACATAAAAGACTGTAGAACCACCGCTGGTAGCGCCCAAAGTCTCCCACTTCCTCTAGTATCTTATCAAAATCCATTTCATGGTGTCTGGACATTTTTCTTTGAAATCCGGTGGGAATTCTGGATCTCCTGAAACAAAAACAGCCAATCTGTGGGCAAAGTTATGGACAAAACCCTTGCGGTTTAGTGCGTTACAAGTGCGCACCTCCGCAACCGACTGCCGGAGGCGGGGACCGGCCGGCCGCCATGGTCAGCGGTCACTGAGACGCCAGTCTCGCTTAAACTGTTCCATACATTTCCGTACAGAAAAACACATCCCGATGCCCTGCCTCGTGTGGTGATTTCCACAGCACAGCCAGTGTCACAGTCCCCGCCACACGTCCTTGTCCACCTGGTCGAGGAGGAGGAATATGAGACGTTCAGGACCAGGACGAGGTGCCCAGGGCAGTGCGCATGGAGGCACGCTTAAACGGTCTGATTCCACGTGTTTTGAGCCTCAAACACGACGAGTCTGGTCATTTTGGCGCTGCAAAAACCCGCAGCTGCTGACACTGGCTGGACATATTTGGTAGGAAATGGAGCAGGATGGTAGAAATTACTCAACTAGCTGTTTGGTGTGTGCGAGTTCAAAAAGCACGCAACGCCCATGGAATAAACGACGCAGCCTATAGCTCCTTCGCAGCACGCCGCTGTTGATCTGATGGAGTCGTTCGGGCGGCAAAGTACAGGACGTGGTAATTGGTATGTTCTGGTCGCACTGGACCTTCCGACAAAAAATGGTCTAACTGGCCCCCCATTCCAGACAAATCTGTAGAAACCGTCGCCAGCACACTAATCGACTGTCGTGTACCGTCACGGTCTCCCGGAGTCCACGCTGACTGATCGCGGTCTGAAATTTAACAACCAGCATCTGTCGGTGCCGGCGCCATCGACGGACATTGACAAACAGCTAGTTTATCATCCGCAGTCGAATGGGGCCGTGGAACAGGGGAACTAGACAACCGGTGCCCCGATCCGCCGCAAAGCGCAGAAGTCTGGATACAAGTGGGACGGGCATCTGGAAGTTGTTAGATTCCAACATATGTCTGCTTCACATGATGCCACTGTCTCATGTCTCCTTTTTTCTCCAGTTTGGCTGCAAACCACTCATTCCTGAGATAGCTCAAACAGAGAGAGTTCTACATATTGTTTCAGCACAGAGCAGTCTTGGGCCAGAAGCCTGGTGAAACCTTGGGGAGAGCTTGTGGTGATGTAGTCAGATGGGGGCAGAAAACCACAGGAGAGTGGATACTACAAGAAAAGACCATCATGGTCCGTTATCATCTGGGGTCCCCACTCATTAAGATTTCACAACAGCCAGGAATGCAAGGAAAAGTTCAATCCCACTGGAATGGTCATTTGTAGTAATCAGCAGCTGTTGAAGGTACATTTACCAGATTAGATGTGGCAACAACTTAAGGCATAATTTTGAAGGTTATTTCAACCAACCCAGTGCCATGGGAAGCAAACAGCCCTGTTGGATTAGCCAGGGTGATAAGGATCAGGGGACAGAGGCAGATGAGATGGTGACAGGTGATGCAAACAGAGGGCCCACATTGACATTGAATCTGGTGTGAAGATCAGAAAATGATTCAGAGTATGAAATTGGTGATCTGAAAATGCCCAAACACATGTCCAAGAAACTGATGTCATGAATGATCACTCCATCTCCACTGAAGCCCATCCAACCCACCACTGCCACCACAGTGAGAGACATGGCCATCCTGAGTACCAAGGCAAATGTGCATGGTTTAATATGCAGGGTTTAATATGCACAGTGAGGGTTGGGGTGGGGAGGGGATGCTCATGGACTTGCAAATTGGGGAGAGAAAATTATATAGATACTAGTATAAATCTTTGTAGTAGACTGCCCTGAAAACAGGCCAACTGACCGCCATGGTCAGCAGTACTGAAATGCCAGTCTACTCACATTTGTGAGAGTGTGCATATATCAAGCTGGATAACTACGCTATGAAGGAAATAAGAGCACATTCTGAGAGCCAGATATTAGATAATGAGCCAAATGATGCCAGGTATAAGATAGTAAGCTAGATATTAGATAACTCCACATACTATTGCTATTCCAATGTTTTTATCCTAATTTTCACTCTAATTTTAATCTTGACCTGAACTTAAACCAAAGCAGAAACATGGGATAATCCAAACATCACTATCAGCACCAACTTGAAATGGTTTGCAGGTCCACTAGCACGTACGTGGTCACAACTGCCATCATATGTCTTAATCAAACTAACTGGTACCTATTTTGCATACACATAAGCAGTTGTTTTAGAGGATGTTAAAATGTGTCTTGTATGTAAGTATGGATGTGTATATCAGAAAACTTGTTTGTCCAGCCAGCACTTTGGCAACCATAACATAATATGTGCCCAGTAACTGTTATGCTTGCACTACAGGGAAAAAGGAGTAAACATGCTCATGGCATACCACTGTGCACCATGCATGATGGTGAGATCAACTTTGAAGACACTGACCCAGATTAAACTCTCGTAAGCACCAGGCCCCCCTCTGTTGCTGTATCATTCCATAGTAGTATGGATTCTCAGATAACATGTTTATTTGCCCTAGCCTAAACATATGCATTTAATAATCATTACAAGCATTTGAAGAATCACTGGTAGTCTTGAAGCCTGGTAAGCATTCATGGCCCTGCCACATGTATGCACACCTTGTTCATGTTTCCAGCAATAATGGAAGGGATCAAGGTAGACCATGAATATACCAGACTGCAAAAAAGGTAGTTGCAGTCTGGTATAACGCTCAAAAAAGTAGTAAAGGTGCCACCAACATGCCTGGTCTAGGAGAAATCATCAGAGCAATTCACTGCATGTGCATGTTAAGTCTGAGTGCTTAGAGTTGGGCAGTCTCCAATTCTAGTGCACACTGGGCCAATGATGCAACGAATTATGATGTTGCAAGCAAGGATAATTTCAGGCCAACATATCTCAAACACACTTTTGTATGCCAGATGATTCGATAACGCAACGCAACTTGGCCTGGTCTGATTTAAGTGCATGTGAGTGCGAGGTTTGATAGGAGCCAACGTGATCAAAAGTCAACATGGCAACACAAACACATCACAATTATCAATGCACAACGCACAATCAACACAACTCGGGGACGCTCATCCCACAAAGCTGAGATCGTATCTCAGGTCTCGGCTGAGATAAAGGTAAACACGGTTGTTGATAGTAAATCAGCTGATTTCCCAAAAGTGGCTCAAAACTAATTCCCACCAATTATTTCTCTGAGCGATTTGCCTGCACACCTTTCTCCCAATTCTTGTAGAAATTTGGATAGATAATTTAGGTGTTCTTACTGATCAATTGTTCAATATGTTCCAAAATCAGTTCAAAACAATGCACAACTGTTTAAAGAAGCAACGACTCCACACCACGTTAATAATTAGTAGCATCTTTCTAGTTTTCTTTTACTATGGAGCCCCTTCGTTGACTTTTGTGACGCGGAGTGACGTGAAACATCCGGGGATGTGTACCCAGGGGCCTGGTGCTTGAAAAGACCTTGGATAAGGGGGAGCGGGCTGGGTCGTAACGGAATCGGACCTTCTCCTCTCTGTTGTCGCGGGTCGGGACGCCTCCTAGGTACCAGGCAAGTTGCAGGTTGTTAGCTGAGAAACGTTTCCGCTAGTGGTGCATATCTCAATGTTAAGCAGTGGACAATGTATGTGTTGTATATTTTCTTTCCAGCAGGCCGGGTGGCATGGCCACATCTACAGGTGCACAAGCTTGCACTTAGTTAGCCCTTTGATTCACTGGTGTGATTGCTAACACATTAATATTTAGGTGCACAAATTTGTGGTGTACTGATGCTTAAATGATGATATGGTAGAAACATGATGGATGGTCCCTGACATGATGTATAAACATGAAGCTGTATATGCATTTTGAGGCCAATTTTTTATGGGGCCTGTGTATCTGAGTAATCAAGAAGTAATCTTGTAGGCAAATAATCTTGAAACATGTGGATATCCTGCCACATTTCAACTTTTTCATGTTGCAAGGACTGCTAATAATTGTGTGGTGCTTCCTCTCCCTCATACTTAAAGGGAATAAACAAAATGCTTCCTCTCCCTCATACCTAGTTTTTTCTCTAGATGCAGGAAAAAATGCAATATTCACCTCTGCAGTACTGCATAGGCTTAACAAAGATGGTGAAACACTAAATACTGTGGAAGCGGACAATAATAGGATTACATCTGTGGTATGGAACAAAGGTCTATGCTGTACAAAGTAATGTCTGGCTTTTTTAAGGATATAAAGTGGCTGCTCAGACCCACACATTCTGCAAGCTTGTACACCACTGTTCAGGTGTGGTAGGCACTAGTCTGTATTAACACTATTCCCCAGTTGAACCACACAGAAAGACAGAGAGAGCAAGGATAGAACATTATCTGTGGTATGGTGATGAGGATTAAGTATAGGATTTATACACTCAGTGTAGCATGTGTCAAGGCATGAGAGCACCTCTGAATCATGACAAAGATTTGTGTAAATAATGCACTAGTGTGCCAAATTATTTGATCTCCTCCCTCATCTTAAAGCTACACATACCATTGTGCAGTCCCAACAAGGCTGGCAAAGTACACTGTGGAAGCATGTTGAATCTGAGACACTTTGGGGAAAATCACAACTATAATCATGGGAGCTACCGACGGGGTCGCTTCATATATCTACGCAGCCAGTACTGTTTTTGTGCATGCCAATAACAGAGTGTGCCAAAAGCAACCTCCATGCCAGTCCACCCAGATCCTAGGGTACCAACACTGGCACTCTTTCCACACAGGCCGGCTGGGAAGATGGTGCAGTTTCTGCGGCTGGCGGGCGCACGCTCGCTGTGCGGTCGTCCGGTGTCGTCGCTGCTGCCAGCGCGGCGCGCCATCAGCCAGCAGGCACGCGAGCGCGTGGCCGCGCTGTCCCCCAAGGTGCGCGAGTTCGTTGACCGCACAGTGCGCATGTGCCAGCCAGCGGACGTGCACGTGTGCGACGGCTCGGCGGCCGAGAGTGCCAGCCTGCTGCGCATGATGACCGAGGCTGGCGTGGTGGAGCCGCTGCCCAAGTACGACAACTGCTGGCTGACGCGCACCGATCCTGCTGACGTCGCCCGCGTCGAGTCCAAGACGTTTATCGTCACCGAGGAGAAGCGCGACACAGTGCCCATTCCGCGCAAGGGTCGCAAGGGCCTGCTCGGCAATTGGATGTCGCCCAAGGCGCTGGAGACGGCAGTGGCCGAGCGCTTCCCGGGCTGCATGCGCGGCCGCACGCTGTACGTCATCCCCTTCTCGATGGGGCCGGTCGGCTCGCCGCTCAGCAAGATCGGCATCGAGCTCACCGACTCGCCGTACGTGGTGGCGTCGATGCGCGTGATGACGCGCATGGGCGCCGACGTGATGGCCACGCTCGGCGACGGCGACTTCGTCAAGTGCCTGCACTCGGTCGGCCGGCCGGTGCCCGTCAGCAAGAAGCCCATCAACAACTGGCCCTGCAACCCGGAGAACACCATCATCGCGCACGTGCCGGCCAAGAACGAGATCATCTCGTTCGGCAGCGGCTACGGCGGCAACTCGCTGCTGGGCAAGAAGTGCTTCGCGCTGCGGATCGGCTCGACGATCGCCCGCCGCGAGGGCTGGCTGGCCGAGCACATGCTCATCCTGGGCATCACCAACCCGCAGGGCAAGAAGCGCTACATCGCCGCCGCCTTCCCGTCCGCCTGCGGCAAGACCAACCTGGCCATGATGACGCCCACGCTGCCTGGCTACAAGCTCGAGTGCGTCGGTGACGACATCGCCTGGATGAAGTTCGACGAGAACGGCGTGCTGCGCGCCATCAACCCGGAGAACGGCTTCTTCGGCGTGGCGCCCGGCACGTCGACGGCCACCAACCCGGTGGCCATGCAGACCATCTTCTCCAACACGCTGTTCACCAACGTGGCGCGGACGGGCGACGGCGGCGTCTACTGGGAGGGGCTGGAGAAGGAGGTGGACGCGTCGGTGGGCATCGTGGACTGGCACGGCGATCCGTGGACGCCAGGCAGCGGCGCGCCCTCGTCGCACCCCAACAGCCGCTTCTGTGCGCCGGCCGCCCAGTGCCCCATCATCGACCCGCAGTGGGAGTCGGCCGAGGGCGTGCCGATCTCGGCCATCCTGTTCGGCGGCCGGAGACCGCTCGGCGTCCCGCTGGTGTACGAGGCGTTCAACTGGCGCCACGGCGTCTTCCTGGGCGCCTCCATGCGTTCCGAGTCGACCGCCGCCGCCGAGCACAAGGGCAAGGTCATCATGCACGACCCGTTCGCTATGCGGCCCTTCTTCGGGTACAACTTCGGCCACTACCTGTCGCACTGGCTGTCCATGGAGGGACGCAGCACGCCGGCCAACTTGCCCAAGGTCTTCCACGTCAACTGGTTCCGCAAGGCGGCTAGCGGCGGCTTCCTGTGGCCGGGCTTCGGCGAGAACTCGCGCGTGCTCGACTGGGTGCTGCGGCGCGTGGACGGCGAAGACTGCGCCCAGGAGTCGGCCATTGGGCTGGTGCCGAAGCCGGGCGCGCTCAACCTGGACGGCCTGAAGGAGGCGGTCGACATGCAGGAGCTCTTCAGCATTCCCAAGGAGTATTGGCAGCAGGAGGTGGAAGCCGTCAACCAGTACCTGGACGAGCAGGTCGGCGAGGACCTGCCGAACGAGATCGTCGAAGAGATTGACCTGCTGCGCGAGCGGATCGCCAAGCTCTAGCTTTGGGCGACTCGTTCGCCGTCGCAGCTGCAGCTCACTTCGGACCAAGCTAGAGGGGTTATTTTTCACGTAGAGGCCGTTTACATGCCTAACGGGTGGTTGTGGTACTCGTGATGCCTTTGTGATCTTGCTTCTGCACATTCCATTTACAAGCATTCCTACTTGAATTTGATCCTTTGTATGGATTATGACTTTCCTAAGCAACGATATATTTTTGTATGGGTTTATGTCCCAGGAACGTTTATTGCACACTTCGTGCCATATGAAGAACGCCTTTTCCATGTCGTTTTATACTATGTGATGCTTACGTTGATAAGTGATACTATTTGATACTTAATGAAGATGTGCCAGTCACCACGTTGTGCACAAATTGTTGCTCAAAAAGTTTATATTTTCTACACTTTTTACCAGTGCACAATGTCTTATAGAACGATTTATTTTGTTTACGTTGGGTGTGTTATGCCCTCACCAAAAACGTCGATTGCGGGAACGCCGGTGGTGTCTGCGAACACCACACTCCTTGAATGAATGGAACATATCCTGCGATATTAATGACTGCCCAGAAATAAAAGTCGTCAACGTGTAGCATTTTTTCGCTCCCGACTGAGCGACAACGCCGACGAGTGAAAGCGGCGTTCCGCATTGCGCGATGCCTTAAATCCGCATCTCAGTCCCGGGTGTAAGCACGCGCGGGCTGGGCTAACCGTGCCGCGATGCGGCGTGTCCCGCGCGGTGCGAGCCAGACGAGTGAGGACGCCTCGTGGCGACGGACGCTTACACTGGCACGGGCTCTCAACCTGAATCATAGTATACTAAACCGATTGGTCTGTGGGTGGCCGTGGGCCTTGCGGCTAGTTCTGCCCAAGTGTTAAACTGGAAAGCTGGTTGATGTCACCAGCATGCTGAATGCTGGCGAACTGCAGAATTTCAGATGACTTAGAATGCATGGTCGTGCTATTGCAGTCGGGAGCTTTTGCGCCCACTTGCCTGCATTCCCAACGGGCACATCCACTTTTAAAGGCTATAATTTCACTCCGACTATTGAAGCGCATTGACACCTGTTGCCGCCTGTCGACCGAACGCGTCCCATGGACACGTTCGGCCGGTGGCGATTATCTCGGAAAGTTATCCAGAAGGTTTGAAAATTCTCCAGGATGGCGTCGGACACTGCCAACACAGATTCAGCACAGATGATGACTTGCTGGTCATATCGAACTGGCAGCATGCTTTTCGCCGATCGGTGGAAAAGTGCAGCGTAGACGAGTTAAAGCACCTGCCCACGACGAAATACCCGACTGTCAACCGCCGCCGCCGTGACAGGTCAAGGGCAATGCAAATGCGCGCGAGCAGACACCCGCCCCTCCGGAGACACCATGCCCGCAAAATGCACTTGCTCATCTGCGGTGCTGTAGCCGCCCAGCGGTTCTAGCCGCCTTGGATGGTCGGCCAGACACTATACGCTCTTTGACCCGCAGAGTCGTGAGCGTCGGAGAGCCGTCGCTGTGCACCGATGCGGCTGGCGTTCCTTCTGCGGCCCAGAGCAGCGCAGGCCGCAGAAGGAACGCCAGCCGCATATTGGATTGCTGTGTCCGACGAGCTCGGGCGGCCCAAGAATGGATCAAAGCCAGCCCAGTCCGGCCCAGCCCCGATGTGGTGCACCAGGCACCGGGTGAAGTGATCCAACTGGCGCTGCGCGCTGGTGGCTGCCACTGCCTGTCCTACCCACGTGGATGATTCTGTTCCACCCGGCACCGTAGCGTCGCTGGACGTCGGGCTCGCGCTGGCGAAACCGGCAGTGACGGTCTACCGCTACGTTTCGGTCAGAAGAAGGTAACAACAGCCGGTGGTCCTGCACAATGATGGACCAGCGTCAGCCCGTGACTTGACAACGGGGAGCGCCCTCACTCCGGCCCATCAATCTTGGCGACCTTTTTGAAAATAATGAGCTCTCTTTCAAAAACCGGATGTCTCCCTCAAACCACGCATTGCGCAAGTGCAACAGATACGTTGATGACACCGCAGACGTGCTAAACAGACACGCTGACATGTCCTGGTCACACTCAAAGTCGATATATCTGACAGCAAGTGACTGCAGAATGTACATCAGATTGGATGCAAAAGATCTTATAACGCTGTTACCAGCCCACAGGACTGAAGACCACTCTCGGAAAGTGGGGGGTCCAGGATTCACGGTCCCTGGGCCATTGGGAAACGGCCCGCTTCCCCCCCCCCCCCCCCAATTAAAAACACTTCGGTTTTTGGCAAGCTTATCTTGGCATTGGCCCACCGATCTCGATCTCCCCCTAAACGAAAAACGAGCACACAGACTCGGTAGTAGCTGGAAGACATATACTTTTTGACTTACCGAACGTGCCCCTTTTGGTTTTTATGGAGTATACGACCTTCTCCTGGTTGAGATGTTGATTTTTAACACTTATTGTGCATTTCAAACTAGAATGCCTGAAATTCTAGTGTACACTACGTTTTATACACAAATGATAAAAACTGGTTTGGATAAAATCGTCGAAAAGAGCATAGCTTGGTATTTTGTCCATCCCTAATCCTTCTCCTCACGGCAAGGCATTTATGGTTATGTACAGATGGGCATCAACCAACATCGGCATCGGTGTCCGCATTGTGTTTTGATCGTAAAAGCTTTCGATGAGGATAGTCGAGGTCGGAATAAGATAGGGAGAACTTGAATAAGGAGCTAGAGGATCAAAGTATGGTACGTGAGAATAAGCCGCCGTAGATCATAGACTGGGAACCATGTTCCATGTGTGCGGGTTTTCAAGCAGGTGCATATTTTCTCATTCAGTTCGGAGGTTGGGCTTGAGAGCCCCCTCCTCCAACTTGAGCTTGGGCCCCACAACTTGGATAGAATGTTGAGACCTATTCAAGGAGAAAACTGCATCGTGACGCTACTGGCGTGTGCCTGAGTCCGCCCCTGCTCGCGCCGCCAGTGCTGCTGCACCTTCGTGCGCCGCTGCCCCGACCGCCGGTGCACTGCCTGGGGCGCCGCCCGCCGGGGTCGGCGTCGCCTGCTCGCCTCGCGTGTTAACACAGTTGCCTTCTCGCAGCGCTCGTGTCTGGTCTGGGCAGATAGAACACGTCAGACTTGAATATGGCGCAGCCGCATCGAACCCAGAGTAAGCTTAAGCAAGCGTGAGCGGCACATTAATTTAAGCAGTGAGAGCTGCAAAGCAAGTCAAGATGCCTGGTTTTCATCCTCCTGAGAACTTCGACTTCACATCGCCTGAGAGGTGGCCGACCTGGCGTGATCGGTTCGTCCGCTACACACTGGCATCGGGACTACACGACGGTGACCGGCGACACACGCGACGGAAGACGGCCACCTTCATGTAGCTGCGTCGATTTACAGTACGGCTCCGCAGGCTGAGCATGTCGTACCAACATTAAAGCCTACTGCTGAGCAGAATGAGGATTTTGAAGTTGTTGCCGCAAAGCTAGACGGGTACTTCATTCCGAAAAGGAAATTTATTGCAGAACGTCACAACTTGGAGCTTAGATCTCAAAGCTCAAGCGGGACTAATGAATCGTACATCAGAGCTTTGTTCTCTCTAGCTGAGCACTGCAACTTCGCCGACGCCGATGAGCGTATCAGAGATCGTCTCATCTCAGGTATGTATGGCAGGGAGCTGTACCGTAGAATTCAGCTGAAGTCACTAGAGGAGGAAGTGTCTGTAAATACCGTCATTTCGATGATGCGTAATGTCGAGATCGTGAACGGCAGTGACAGCTCTGGTCCGCCTGACAACAGTAGGGTTTGCGCACCGGTGCAGCACAGGCAGCCGCCCCAGCAGCACCACCCGCGATAGCAGCAGCACCAGCAGTACAAACGTCAACAGCAGCCTTCCACCGCGCAACGGTAACAGCATAGTCAGCGTGCCGACTTTTCAACAGCATGCAGCTAGTGTGGAAGAGCACGTCATGTGTCTCCGAAAGATTGTCCCGCTAAGGGAAAAATCTGTGACAACTGTCAGAAAATGGTTCATTTTGCATCTGTTTGTCGCTCCAACGGTGCCAGAGCGATTGGCCGGACAGAGTCCATTGAATAACTATCGCCGCCCAACATTTTTGTTGGCAAAGTAGACAAAGCTTGCGCGCCGTGGAGAGTTATCGTCCTTCTTGATGGTCAAAGTCGCTTTCAAAGTTGACTCTGGCGCTGATGTTAGCATTCTGACGCTGGAAACGTACAGGAACCTGAAACTGCCGCCACTTCAGCATGCTTCAAATACTCTGACGAGTGTTGGTAGCGTGCTAAAAGTAGAAGGAAAGATGCACGGAACACTCATGTTCAAGAACAAAGCCGAGCCTGAAGTGTTCTACGTTGTTGACTCGGCTGATTATCTCCTCTTCAGGTCTGCTTGCTCGCGCCTAGGTGCGCTGACGTTCACAGGTGAAGTCAACGAAGACGTCCTCGAAGAGGCACGTCTCCTGAAGACAGCACCGGTCGGCATTCAGCTCCGTGAAGATGCTGTTCCAGTCACCCTCGCCACTGCAAGAAACATCCCGCTGCCACTGATGAAGCCGGCGGAAGAGGAGCTGAAGAAGATGGAGCATCACGGCATCATCACGTCGGAAACATAGCCAACGGACTGGGTCTCTGTGCTGGACCCCGTCCTGAAGCCGAAGAGAAGCGGCGTTCGCATCACGGTTGACTACAAGAAACTCAACCAGTCTGTGAAGCGACAGGTGTTTCCGATCCGTACTCCGGAGTAGCTTACCTCCAAGCTGAGTGGCGCAACGCTCTTCACCAAGCTGGACGCCTCTTCCGGTTTCTACCATATCCCGCTGGACGAGGCGAGCTCCAAGATGATCACGTTCATCACTCTGTTCGGCAAGAAGAGGTTCCTGCGATTGCCGATAGGGATCACGTTCGCACCGGAGTACCTCCAGCGGAAGATGGAGAAGATGCTGGACGGGCTGTCCGGAGTCACCGTCGACATGGACGACACCGTGGTGTTCGGAGATGCCGCCAGCTACGGTGCACATCTCGAAGCTGTCAGGAGGATCCACGAGTCTGGCCTCAAGCTGAACAGGAAAAGGTGCGAGTTCCGGAAGAACAAGGTCAAGTTTCTGGGGATGAAGATCAGCAAGAACGGCATCAGCATGGACGAAGAAAAGCTCGAGGCGATCCAGCAGCTCCAACCGCCAAAGAATGTCAATGAACTAACCTCACTGCTCGGAGTAATCAACTTCCTGGGCCGGTTCGTTTCACACATCCAGGAGTGCTTGAGACCACTGAACGAGCTTCTGAGAAAGAACGTAGCATGTATCTGGACACCACAGCAGCAGCAGGCGCTGGATGACGTGAAAGCGGCCGTCACTTCAGCTCCAGTTCTGACGTTCTACGATCCAGCACGAAAGACGGTGGTCAGCGCCGACGTCAGCAGTTCCGGCATCGGAGGATGTGTTCTCCAGAAGCACGGCTCCGTCTTCAAACCCGTCGCGTTCTGCAGCAGAAGCCTGGCTGACACCGAGACCAGATGGGCCCAGATCGAGAAGGAACTGCTCTCCGCGACGTGGACGTGCGAGACAATGCATATGTTCCTGTCTGGGCT